AGAGAGGGAACACAAGCAGGGGGAGTGGGAGAGGGAGAAGCAGGCTTCCCGCAGAGCAGGGAGCCCGATGCGGGGCTCAATCCCAGGACCCTGGGACCATGACCTGAGCCAAAGGCAGACACTTAACGACTGAGCCACACAGGCGCCCCAAAACAATACTGTTTTATGTCTTCAAAACAAAGTAACAGGAAATTCTGTGTGGAGACTTAAGATGTATAAATAATAAAGAAGAGAAAGAAATCATATATTTTAAAAGGTGATATAAATAAGGAATTTTTTAAACTACAGAACAAATCATTTCTATCTGATAAGTATTGGATATAGGAAGTTTCAAGTTTGTGAGAGGGCTTAAATGACTGGTTTAAATAAATTATATTATAAACGTAACTTCGTGGAATTGAAATCTTACCAGAATATATCCTCTAATACATCTAAAGGTAAAGGATGAGGATTAAACACGATAAAAAGTCTTTCTTTCACAGGAGTTTCAGGAGGGGCTTTTTTTTTGCACGATGGAAGTACAACATCTGTCTGGATTTGAGGCAACTGTGATCCAGAATTTCCTCCAAATTGCTGTTGAAGAGTTAGGTACAAAATAAGAAAAAGAAAAACTGCACTTTAAGGATTTTAAGCCAAGAGCTAAAGAGATCTATATCATGACTTCTATGTGATCTTGTACTGTAGCTCCGAAAATTTTCTTACATAGGCAATAAACAAAGGCCACATTTATTTTATAGCCTACTGATGTATGATAGAGGTTAAATTCTTACCTACTTACCAGAAATTGCTGCTGACTTGGGTTATTCCACACCATTGATGCAAGCTGTGCTGCTACCATCTGCGTTGCCATTTTTCTGAGAAGACTAAAGATAAGAACTGATAATTTACAGAAAACTAGAAATATTCAGTCTCTGACCTGTAACTTATTTTGTGTGACTTCCTCACCCAAGAGGTCAACTGCTTTCTATTCTTATTCTTCAAGTCATACCATGTATACCCAAAGCCCTGCTGTAAACCCTCCTGAGATAGTACTTACTCTGTTGCGTTACTCCCATCATCAATGAAGGAAACACCTATCCGATTCCCAGGAGGGTACTGAAACCCATGTAACTTGTATTTTGCATAAATAGCTGATGCTACGTTGAAATACTGAACCACTCCATGACCTAAAACAAAGTAGAGAACATCAGGAGTTAAAAAGAACACAGGGTACCCAAAGCCCGTCTTGCCACAAAATCAAACAATATAGAAATAGCCTGTAATCACATAACTAGTTAACAGAGAGTCAAATGGGTCAGAAAACAAAGTTTTCTTATACATATGTGCAACAGCTATGTTCCTACAAAGTCTAAACCAGATTTTGGCAAAAATATAAACATGATATTTTAAGGAAAATGTGTAATTATTAGAGTAAGTTCTGTCCAATGAATTTAATTTTAGGATATTGGTGTTTCTTATATGATAGATATACCTAAAGCCAAACAGTTTTTCTTTTGAAATCTGCTTTGAAATTTTTAAATTTTTCCTATCATACTGAGTCGGAAATGAAATGAGAATATATAGCCTGATAAAAGCATACAGTCATCAGGCTTGCTGCAGTGCTAGAGAAAGGAAAAGTGTTATTTATGAAAAAGAAAACATAGGGAACAGAGGCTCTCAGATTAGAAGTCACATATTTCACATTTCTTTGGCGAGCTTTCAGCTAAGGAAATAGATTTCAATTCAGGAGGGTGATGCTGTAGTGGGGGGATAATTTTATACTGGAGTCCATATGTGGACAGCCCATGAGCTTGTAACACAACCAAAAAGTTTTCATGATATATAACCCATATGTATAATATAATATAATATAATATAATATAATATAATATAATATATAACCAATATATACAGTATAACCCACTTGGGGGAAAACACTGCTATAATTTCATGTTCCTTTCTAAACCCAAGCACCCCAACATTTTAATGAAAATAAAATTCAGATAGCAAATGAACATATAAAACTAATTCAGATAGAACTCTATGATGATACCTCTATTAATAAAAAGGTGCCCAATAACACATATATTTATTTATCAGACACATTCAACCAGAGAAATGATAAAGAAGGTAAAGGAACAAATACATTTCAACATACCAGATAAAAGGGAAAGAAATACAAAATAAATAGAATTATACATAATAACGAATGTACCAAAAAACACAAAGTGTGTGCCTTAGAGTCAGAATAAAGAATGATAGTCTAAGGTTGGGTTAGGGTTGGAGATGGTCCAAAGTAGGCTCAGATGGGTAGTCGTGCTAAGAGACCAGCGCTGGGTAGAGTAATAGTAAGTGCAAGTCTGTGTGAAAAGTGGCACCACTCCAGGCCTGCCAGCCCGATGACCTGACTCACTTTCCTACTTCCCCTTACATCCATAACACCCTGAAAGGACTAAATCGAGTGTATCTATAGTACTAGAAGAGATGCCAAGTATGACTTCTCTATACCACCTCTCCAATTCTCTAAACAAACCAATAAGCTCCTGAGATTTCCTGAGTGCCTACTATGTGCCAGGACTTGCAATAGGTATTTTACATGCAGCATTTCTAATTCTTATCTAACCTTGGCATAGAAGGTATTAATAATCCTCTTTTACAGATGAAGAAAGAGAGATTCAGAAAGGATAAGCAAACTGCCAAGGTCTCAGAGCTACGTGCCAGTACTGGGATTTGCATTTTGAGTCTAATGTGAAATGGAATGCCAACCATTTTCCATTATGCCACAATAACTCCATTTTCAAAAAGCCTTAAAAAATTGTGAAGATGGTTAAGCCAACACTAGATATTAGGTTTAACCAATTAACTAGTTAATAAGTTCAAATGGCTGATATTAGAGCCTTGCTTCAGATTTTTAAAAAAGATCTTATTTATTTGAGAGAGAGAACACAAATGGCGGGGGAGAGGGAGAGGAAGAAGCAGACTCCCCACTTAACAGGGAGCCCGACATGGGGCTTGATCCCAGGACCGTGAGATCAAGACCTGAACCAAAGGCATACGCTCAACTGACTGAGCCACCCAGGCGCCTCAGAGCCTTGCTATAATTAAGACTGGGAAGAAGTAGAGAGAGAAGTAGAGCAATTAGATGCTTGAAATGAAGGGAAGGAGTTTCATTTTGAGGTATAAAAATTAAAAAACAAACAAACAAAAAAAGAGAGACACTTAGGGACGAGGAGGAAGCTTTAAGGGTTTTAGAACTTTGCCTAGCATTAATCAGGAGTACAGGGACCCCATCCTGAGGTATTCTGGTTGTACAACTGGAAAGAGAGAACACTCTATATTGTGGGAGTTAAAATATTCTTTAAAAATAAATGACTTGGGGCGCCTGGGTGGCTCAGTTGTTAAGCGTCTGTCTTCGGCTCAGGTCATGGTCCCAGGGTCCTGGGATCAAGCCCCGCATCGGCTCCCGCTCGGCGGGAAGCCTGTTTCTCCCTCTCCCACTCCCCTGCTTGCGTTCCCTCTCTCGCTATGTCTCTGTCAAATAAATAAATAAAATCTCTAAAAAAAATAAAAATAAAAATAAATGACTTGTATAAAGGACATATATTCTCAGGGGTTTATTTATTAAGGTATCATTGTATTTGAAAGTTTAAAGCAGAGAAAAAGAAAACATAAAGTTGTCACAGAAAGAGTATCTGACATAAGAAGTGCACTGGAGAAAAGACATTTTAACAAAACACAGTATATTAAAAAATAATAGACATTATTTTACCATAATTAGAATAAGGATCTCGTTGAACTTCACAGTATTCCAATCCTGGTACTATATCAAAAATACTGAAAAGCTGCTCTTCAGTGAAAGGAACTCTTGATACAACTGACAGGCGTTTGGAGATAGCTTCTTGGCCTCTGTTGTCATTTTTGTCAAAACTTGAATACTCAGATTGTTGTTCTCCAACAATATAAAAAAAAGTACATCTTTTAATTTCTATACATTCAACATTTTAGGTGCAAGTAAGTAAGATGAGCTGTCATTCAGTCCATTGCATTGGACCAAGGCACTGTATTTTGTAGTATGTTCTTGGTCATTAGCACTATCAGAGGGACCAATGGTGAAAAAACAGACAACTCTTCCCACTCCCCTGCCTTTGACACAGAAATATAAGCAGAAATGTGTAGTCTAACTTCAGAGGAATAGGTTTAGTATGCAAAACTGCAAAATATGGGATGAGTTTCACCTAAAAGAAAGTTTATGCCAAATAACATTTACAGGACTTACTTTCATCACTCATTTCTCCCTTTGGCTAACTTCTACTTTTGTCATTCCTCTCCTTTCTCTAGCCCTAATTTTAAAGCAGCAGTACCTTAGGGATAAAATCTTAGGACTCACACTGAGGGAATATCAGGATAGGTCTTTCATACTTTTTGCTCCTACACAGAAGCAGAAGCTCACTCAAAAAGAGTGGCAGTGATGTAGTTTAATATTTAGATAATACATAACTAACCATAGAAAACTATAATTGGAATTATTATTTTTTCCCGTTACACATAGAAATATATAATTATATATAATATAAACATATATTTCTGTTATACATAAAATATAACATATAATATAAATTTATATAATAATTTCCAATTACAGTTTTCTATGTTACACATAGTGTTAAATACTAGTTACGCAAGTGTTAAATATTAAGACCATGAGGAGTCATGGCAAACTTCTCAAAAAACCCCATATTAACTTTTATTCACCAAGTGAGATTTACAGACTAAAGAATATTTTATGAAATCCAAATCCAACTGTATATACTACTTATACTATTAAAATAAAGGATAGCTTACTCACCAAATGGAAACATATTAACTCTAGGTTCATGTCCCAATGTCTCCTGCCTCATGTTACTATAATAGTCTTGTTCCGAGGATTCAGACGCTTTATTTTTAGGTTCAGCCAAGATTGCCCTAAAACCTGAAAAAGAGAATCTATGACTTTCAAACTTCATAGCAAATTGAACACACCTGCAAATATGCTTTATTGCTATGCTTGACTTAGCTTTTAACTGTAATTGTATAAAACAAAATCTATACAAGGGCCATCTGCACCAGACCTACTTCTTGGCTTTTTGGAAGATGGCAAAGAATAAATAAAAAGCGCAAGAATCTCAAGTTATGGGTCAATGTAGACATGAAAGATCAGCAATTCTATCTTATCCTTTCCAGTCTCCCGGCTATTACAAAAAACATCACGGCTCGTTCTCCCTGGTTCAACATCAAAATCCTATAGGGCTCTTTACATTCAACCTGTTAGCAAGACTCTTCCTTTGAAATACACTTACAAGATGTTATCTTTTATTCCAATTTCTTTGCCTTTGTTTCTAAGTCAGATTCCCTTCAATTAATTACAACTCTTTAAGTGGTCTCTTTGCCTCTGGATCAAAGGTTTTAAGTAGGGGCTCAAAGATGAGCTTCAAAAAGTGGGAAGGTTCCATGAACTCTCTGAAACTTTAAACAAAATGCTTATGTATATGTGCATATGGGCATATTTCAAAGGAGAAGGTTCATAGCTTTCAACATATTATGCAGTGGCTCGTAAAAGGATAAAACCAGTCACTTCGAATTCTTTCTCTGGAAATCCATCCTTGAAACTGTGGTTAGATCAAATGTCCTAATAGTTATTTTTCTCCTTTTAAAACAATCTACAAGGGAATCCTAACTGAGGTTGAACTGTTTATAACCTCCCATATATGGTGCCAATGTATTTAGTTAACTTTGTTTCCTAATTTCTCAACAGGATTATTACGCTTTCTTCAGACTGTTGCCTTCACAGTATTAAGCAAAGACATGTTTACTCCTAGCTCTGTGCCTTTGCTAAAACTGCTCTCACCCTCTGTCCTGCCTACTCTATACCAGATGTCAATCTTACCTCTAGAGGTGTTCTCATGCTCACAATGCACTTGTTTCTCACCACTGTTGGACCATACCACACATTTTCTAACATTTTCTCATTTGGCAAATTTTTATTGAGTCTATTAAAAATGGCAGTATCTTTGATAGAGATCTCAATAAATCTTTATAGAGGGCCTATAACTAACTGTACTAGGTACTAGGAATGACAGAAACAGACAAATAAAACATACTCCCTGCTTTCAAAGAGCCTTTTAAAAATTCTTCTTTTTTTTTTTTTTTTTTTTTTTTTAAAGATTTTATTTATTTATTTGACAGAGAGAGACACAGCGAGAGAGGGAACACAAGCAGGGGGAGTGAGAGAGGGAGAAGCAGGCTTCCCGTGGAGCAGGGAGCCCAATGCGGGGCTCGATCCCAGAACCCTGGGATCATGACCTGAGCTGAAGGCAGCCGCCTAACGACTGAGCCACCCAGGCATCCCTCTTCTATTATTCTTTAACTATTTTTTGTCTATTAGATCTTGGCTACCCAATATAATTAAATTCCTTAAAAGCTATATATTTATTCCCTTTGTATCTTTTTACTTAACATACTGCTGAGTATACCATAGGTACTCAATTAATGCTGGTTGACTGAGAAATTTAGAAGGATCTGAGAGGAAATTTTGGTATGTATCTTAGGGTTATTTAAGGAGGGCATGTTCTGCATGGAGCACTGGGTGTTATACGAAAACAATGAATTGTGGATCACTACATCAAAAACTAATGATGTACTGTATGGTGACTAACATAACATAATAAAATAAAATAAAAAAAGAATTCTACTGATTAGCAATAATTCTTTCCAGTACATATAGATCTTTATAATATCCTAAAACCTACTAATTAATTATTCCTCATTTCTCAAGGTCAATATAACCAGGAGTATGACAACAAAGGGTATTTTCCTTGGCTTCTTTAAAATTCTTATTCTTCATTATATATACCAGCAATAGCAAAAGATCCAATTAATATCACTCTAGCTCAAAATTAACCCAATATATATTTAGTTACCTATGTGGGCAAATATTACACTAAGTCTCAACCCTAACCTTTATGTTTATTAGTATATACTTAATTCTATTTAAGGTTTAGGTTAAATATGAACAAATAGAAAATTGGAGTTCTTTTTTTTAATATAAAGAAAAAATATTCTTTAAAAAAGCCTGAAAGGGTAAGTCAATTTTTTAATACTTAAAAATTTTAAATTACTATAGAAATAATAACCAAAATGTGGCAACATATTTTCATTTATTAAGTTAATGCAATTGCTCATATTTCTCTTCAAGACAGTGCCTCAATGAAAACTTAATCACAGCCCCCAAATAATTTTCATCTTAGGTATATACATATATTTAACTCCCATTGCTAGGATTAAATGAGCAGGTATGGTTATTAGCAAAACCAAGTGTTAAATTCAGTTATTTAGAATAATTAAAAGTTTTTAAGAAGTCTTTAATATGTTAAATGAACATATCCTTACTTCGATCACAGTTTTCTATTGCTTGGGCAGCTTGTGATGGTTTTAAGTATCGAACATAACCCAAACCTTTACTTTCTCCAGTTACTTTATTCTTAATAATGCTGCAATACTCGATATCTCCATACACCTATGAGAGTTAAAAGAAATGATCTTAGAGGAGTCAAAATCAATAACTGAACAGATTATTTCAGAACTTAAAGTTTATTTGTGTCCCTTATTGGCAAAACTAGAAATGAGAATTAGAATTTACAGCCATTTTTAATAATAGAATCCAAATGTCACAAACTAATGAGGCACTAGAAAAAAAACCATACTAACGATACAGGCAAATAATAACATAACCAAAATAATGATGATTTTCATTTTCATCTTCTGAGCATTTGCTTTACATATATTATCTTACTGCTACAAAAGTCCTTTAAGGATATATGTATAATATGTATGTGTGTATGTATATATGTATGTATATGTATATATACACAATATATTATATATTTGTATATCTATATATATTATACTATTTCACAGACAAGGAAACTGGGTCTTTGAGAAATCAAATAATTTGCCCATGTCATGCAGGGCGAGTAAGAATGTGTACATGGTTTGGAAAGCTCCAAAGTCTTGCTCAGTGGTGATTACAAGCTGGAATTGAACCTTCCATATCCAAATCTTAGTTCAGTCCCTTATTAACTGAGTAGTTTAGTTATCTTCTCTGTGCCTATCTCTTTACCTGTTAAATGGGGCTAAAAGTTGTACCTACTTCAAAGGGTTATTTTAAGAGTTAAATGAACTAATAGACCTAAAGGGTCTGGGACACACTAAACATTAGCTACAGCTGTCTGCCTTCTAACAGGACATAACTGATTATGTATTCTTTTGAAGAGGAGCCTCTCAAAGTGTATCACTAAAACACACTGACGTACTCAAAAGTCAATTCTCTATGTGAAAAATATGGGTAAAAGTTTACTTTTAATGTTGGTAGAAATATGGGATATAAATTCTTAGTATTTATTTTTTTTAAGATTTTATTTATTCATTATTTAGAGAGAGACAGTTTGTGTGTGTGAGCAGGGGGAGGGGCAGAGAGGGAGAGAGAAAATCTCTAGCAGACTCTGAGCTGAGTGTGGAGCCATATGCAGGGCTCCGCCTCATGACCCTGAGATCATGACCTGAGCCAAAATCAAGAGTCACATGCTTAAACAACTGAGCCACCCAGGTGCCCCCTTAGTGTTTATTTTTTATTTTATAAAAGTCTCACGTAACCAGTTAGCTACTTAATTATTATACATTCGGATAAAAATGTCATATTTGTTCACTCAGAAAAAGATAAAAATTTATAAATACATAAGATAAAAACTTCTTTCTTACTATTGGAAGAAGTATGGAATATATATTTTTGGTAGTTGTTATTTTTGAGATATTTTATTCAACTCTTATTTGGGGTAGGACAGAGAAAGTTTGAAAATTACTTTTCACTATTTGTTTCTTTTCTTTCTTGCTTGTTGCCCACCTGATTCATAGTGTTGGGAAACTTAGTAGAAAAAGGATAAAAAATTACAACTCAAAACAATTTAAGAATTGCTTTTTAATAATTTTTGTGAAAGTATATCACATATATAAAAATCAATGGCTAAAAAGAGATTTAAAATTCTCTTCAAATTTCATGGACTATAATCTTGCTACATGGTTCAGAGCTGTAGTTTTTTTTTTCCTTTTAATAGAACTCCTTCAAAGGCTTAATTTTAGGACAAAAATTCTATAAAGGATGAGCCTTTCTGCGAATAAGTACATCTACATGCCACAAGCTTATAATCAATACTAGATAATACAGTTGACACACTCAGGCTTCCTTGACTCCCCTCTATATGAGAGCAACAGAGTGGTGAGAGGGTACTTGGAAAGTGTAAAGACCAAGAGCAGGTTCCACCACCTACAAGGTATGTGACCTAATTTAAAACTCCGGGCTTTATACTTTATTTTCCTGAATCTGTGTTTTCCTTTTATGGGGGAAAATACCATCATTAATATTTTCCAGTTTTTATGGTTTTTTTTTTTAAGTTAGTTTATTCTAGGTTTAATATTTTAAAACTAGATGGAAATAGATGATTTAAAAACAGTTCCTTAATTCTCTACCACCAATCTAATCATCTAACTGAAACAACACTTAAGATTTAATAACCATACAACCAATTTAGGATTGTAAGTTACCACAGATGCTAGCTGATTAGAAAACATAAGTACCTTAAATTTTTCCCGCAGATCTTCTTCTGTGTAGGACTTTGGTATCATAACAAATATTCTCGTAAGTTCTTCATCTTCAACATCGCGGTGACTTCCAGATGATCGGGACTGAGCAATGAAAACCTAAGAAACAAACAAAATCCAAAAAATAATATAAAAAAAATCAGTTAACTGCTTTCCTATTTCTTAAGTATACTTACTTCATTACTAGTGTGAGATTCATGTTAGGTTAAACACAATGTAATAGCGTTTTGTCAAAAAAGTTTTTTTAAAGCAATCTTTACTGCAATGACATTTTATATGAGATAATACCAATGTCTGCATTTACTTTTGCACTTTTGTCTGCCAAGAGGAAGTCAGTGCATTGAAAAAGAATGTATACTCTGTAGTTGCTGAACACAGTGTCTAATAAATGCCAATTACAGTTGATTGATAGTATTATTTAAATATCAGATTTTTACTGATTTTGTCTAGTTGTTTTATCAGATACTAAGAGAGGAGTATAAAAACCTGATTGCAAATTTATCTTTCTCCTTTTAGTTCTATCAGTAATGCTTCATGTATTTTGAAGCTGTATTACTGGCTGCATAAACATGTGGGATTGTTATGTACTTTTTGACTGATACTCTTATTCCTATGAGATTGCCCTATCTCTGTTAATACTCTTTGTGTTGAAGACCATTTTGTATGACATCACACAAGCTTTTTCTTTTTTTTTTTTTTAATATTTTATTTATTTATTTGACAGAGAGAGAGATAGCGAGAGCAGGAACACAAGCAGGGGCAGTGGGAGAGGGAGAGGGAGAAGCAGGCCTCCCGTGGAGCAAGGAGCCCGATGCGGGGCTTGATCCCAGAACTTGGGATCATGACCTGAGCCGAAGGCAGACGCTTAACGACTGAGCCACCCAGGCGCCCCTCACACAAGCTTTTTCTATCCTTTAACTTTCAACCACTTTGTATCTTTATGTCTCTTTTAAATAGTATTTAGTTTGGTCTTTCTTTTTTTATAAATCCTGATAATCTCTGCCTTTAATTGGCACATTAAGTCTACTTATGTTTAATGTAATTATTGATATAGTTGGGTTTAAGTCTAGAATGTCATTATTTTTAATTGTTTTCTTTCTAATATTAACCTTTAAAAAAGGTAACATAACCATATTCTGGATCATCTCAGGGACCATCCAAATGATTTATGTGAGCAAGAAAATGCACAGGACTACCTGAGGCTCCATTTTCTACTATTAGCAATTTAGTTTTACTGAAACATCATCTGTGACATTAGATTACTTAGATTTATTACTTGGATTATGATACTAGATTGTTGCTTATTACTTTATAAAACTGTTTTGGTTTTATATTATCCTAGAGGAATGTTAAAATCTCTAATTAGGATTGTGGATTTGTACAGAGCTATAAGGATAAGAATTTTAATGACTAGTTTTGTTTTTTTATAAATTGAAGACGTAATAAAATTAATATAAATCACCACACAAAGCCCTTAAGGTTTCTTTTTTCTTCTACTTTAAAGGGAGGGCTGTATACCATTCAAGTATGAGAAAACCTCAACTTATGGAATTCCAGAGTAGGAGGCAGCAACCCAAAGGACAGAGAACTTATAAAGCCATGGGATTTCAAAAGTATGAAACAGAAGATCGTATGTTTGCTTAGAAAACAGCTGTCATAGAGGTATAGGACCTCGTTGACAAGACACAGCTGGAGACATATTCCTAGAGTCTACTGTTACTTCTTCAATAAACTTACACTAGCAGTGTATGAGGTATTAGTAACAGAGTACTGAGCAATACAGAAATGACCCACTAGAAAGTCAGTCTAGTGGACGTATCACTAATGAATGATCAATAGAAAAATAAAATAGGAAATCTTTACGAATATGGGAAGATACTGGGGGAAAAGAAAGAGTCTCAAGTTAAGATTTGAGACTGGAGGTGTCATCAGATCACAAATTTCTAAATTTTAGAAGTCTAGAGTGTTTCAAATTTCCAATAAGGCAGGCAGTGTCTGAGCAGAACACATGTATAATAATTAACCACCTAATGGAGAGTTCTCCTGAGACTTTATGTTCAGACTACAGACTCTAAATAAGAGGCATTCTTGCAAAGCTGAAAACCAAAACTTTACCACTTTCCTCCAGATAATGTAGTTGGTCACAGAATAACTCTTACTTAGCCAATCTTTTCTGGCTGTAGGCCCAGGGCTATAATTTTCTTATGTGTCTTATAGATCCTTTGGAACTTTGCAAAAGCAAACTACATGAGAAAAGTTGAAGCTGAATTAATTTAACGGGAAATACAGAAAAAACAAAAAGAAACACAAAGAAACTACATTCCAGTGAAAGACAGACCAAGCTGAACCTGCTGAAGAATGAACTTAGACTGTCTAGCTTGGTCCTGTAGTGCAACAAACTTCTGGCTGAAACTGAGTGGACCAAAATGTGGAAAACAAGTTAAACTTGAATTATTTTGGGGAGTAGCTTCTCTGTGGCTAAAAGGGAGGGTACATTTCAGTGATGGGACTTTTACTTCTCTTGTAGGAATTTAATCAAGGAAAAGGGATTATATAGGTTTGAGATCTGGGGCACTTTTTGGGTTGCCCACAGATCTCTGGTTATACTCAAAAGTATAAAAAACCCTCTAGGCTAATTTAATTAGAAGGAGATACAAATTACCAATCTAGGACAGGAGTCAGCAAACCACAGCTTCCTGTTTTTCTACAGCCCATGATCTAAAAATTGTTTTTACATTTTTAAAGGGCTGTTAAAAACACCGAACATGTCACAGAGACTGTATGTGGCTCACAACACCTAAAATATTTACTATCTGTCCTCCTACAGAAAAAGTTTGTCAACCCCTGATCTAGCATATGCTGTTGCCTTACAATTCATTTTATTGATGATCTGTTCTGCTCCATTTCAGAGAGTTGGGGAGGTGGAAATAAAGGGAATGTCTATGGTGGTCTACTGTATTGCTGGTATACTCCTATGCTCCTTCTCTTTTGTGGATGGAGGTATAGGGAAGACCTCCGAGACTGAAATTATCTTTCAGTCTTTCATTTATGTCAGTATTCTTATCAGTTTTCTGTAGTAAGTGGGAGGAATAAAAGGGGGGAAAAAAGTCGAGGGAAAGGAGAATTTTGTGGAAGTCTCCAACAGAATTACATACACAGCAACTATTTCTACAGGACAGGTGAGGGTACAGTTTAAGCAACTGTCAGATCCTCAGGATTGGGTCCTGAACTGAGTTCACAGCCAGTAAGGAATGACATTTTGGCTACTACTGACCATAAGGATATATTGAGGGCCTACCTTTTGCCAAGCACTGTGCTAAAAGCATAGATAAAGTCAAATAACTCTCAAAATCACCCTTCCTGCCACGTGTCAGTTATCTTAATTTTACACAAGTGCGGAAACAATATAAATACCTCCAGGGTGAACCAAGAGTATACAAAGAAGCATTTAATAACAATACCACTACACTACCATCACAATGATTTGGCTCTTCTTAAGGCAGTTTACTTTGGTTGCTTTCAAAGAAAAGTGGCAATAACAAAATGTATGCCATTACTACTTTCACAAAGAGGGCTTAGTTAAGAGGATTTTTAAAAATCACAATAGTGTGACAAATATACAATAGCAGCAGTTTTAGTCACCTTGACTCAAACATTATATACATGTACACTTTCGTCCGGTACTGGGCAAACGCCCAACACCAGAGAGGCCACAGTTTAATACACCTTTATCAAGTTGTTAAGCTCAGTACCAACCTGAAGAAAAAGCAAAAAAAAAAAAAAAAAAAAAATCTGTTTTTATACATGGTACACGGGGTTATGAGAGAGGCGGTTCAGAGGTGGGCCGTGGAGTCCAGAGCTGCGTAGGGGTGACGGCCGGCGTGGAGGGAGGCCCAGTCAGCTCTGCAGCTGAAGTCGGGGCGGACGTTCTTTCCGCACCGTCCAAACCCCCGCACCCCTCTCTCCAACGCCATCCTCCCGCCCCCGGAATGCCAGGCGCTGCCCAGTCCGCCCCAAGGAGGTGCTGTACTACCCCGACCCCACGCTGACACAGCTTCAGGTGCAGGGAGGCCCCATCCCTTCCCACTCCCGCGGGTACCCCAACCCCGGCACCTGCACCTTGATGGGCTTGGTGTCATTGGGACTGAGGCACTGGCCGTGCATCTCCTCCATGGCCCTGCAGGCCTGCGAGCTGCGGGCAAACTTGACGAAGGCGATGCCCTTGGACTCCTTGGTGTGCTTGTCCCGCACCACCCAGATGTCCTGGATCTCGCCGAAGGGCGAGAAGCGCTCCCTCAGCACCGACTCGGGCGTGTACTTGCTGATCACCAGAAAGATGCGGCTGTTGGGGGGCTCGTCCAGGCTGTCCACGCCCGGCCGGAAGCCTCCGCCGCTCGCACAGCTGCCTGCTTCGTCCATGGTGCTCCACCCCGGCGCGGGAGTCAGGCCCGGGTCCCCTTCAGGTCTCTTCGCTTCCGCCGCGCCCGCCACCGCCGCTTTGCACACCCAGCCGTTGTGGGTCCGGCGCTCCGCTTCCGGAAGACGCAAGAAGTCGGGCGCCTGGCGCGGTCCGGCAGTGCCTGGTGCCAGCTTCCGGGGAGCTGCCTGCAGCGCCCCCTAGCGGTCCGGGGGGTGGGGCGACCGACCCAGTCCGGGAGTCCAATCCCGCGGAAACGAGGCTCAAACTCAGGTGTGCCCTCCGCATTCCCTGTGGCCAGAACAGCCCTGTCTGGTGCACAGGCTTTCCCAGCGCTGGCTTTATTCCCATCCCTAGAGCCCAAGCATTCTTCCCCCAAAGTTTGCCATCTTGGTCATAAGCTCAATAGAAGACCATTACAGGATAAAGTTAAAAACCCTATAGCCTTTAGAGCTATAAAGAACTTTCGAGATAATCCAATTCCAGCCTCATTTGTTGAGAAAATTGGGGTGAGGAAATCGAGGCCCTTGGAATAGCCAAAGATAATAGGGGTACAAATAACAGAGCTAAAACCAGAACCACCTCTGTCGGCTGATCTGCTCAACTCTCACAAGCACCCCTGGGGATTTGAAGGCTGAAAGGGTGGACTGCTCAGCTCTAGGACTAGGAGAAATCTTAATGGCAAGCAAAGTGGGAATGCATACTGACTTCTAAGACTTCTTGTTATAGGAGACTTGAGGAGAGGTAGTGGGAAACTAGGAGAAATCCAGAAACAAGAGCTGGATTTTGTAGTGGAATTAGAATAAAATGAAAAGAATGAAACAGAAAGTGGTCCAGGAGCAGAGCTCTTTGAAAGTTCAAGTCCAGGCTGCTAAGATCTGGGTTGCTTTGAACTTAAACAGATAAATACTATTTATTCTGTGCCACCTGCGTGTCAGCTCTGTGTAAGGAGCTAGACACAACAATAAGGAAAAGGAAAAACATGATCCCTGTCCTCAGAGAGCTTTCTTTCTATTGTGGAAAACTTACATGTAAATATATAGTGCAAAATAATGTCTGATTGTGTTAAATGGTTTCGCCACTGAATTGTATGTTTGGACAAGTCACTTCATATTTCCAACTTCAGTTTCCTCAGCTGCAAGGAGAAATAGTATTACCCACTAAATGGGGTAGTTGTTAAACTCAGTTAATTCATCCATTTATTTGAGGACTAAATGTTTTTGATTGTCTACTATGTGTTGGGCACTGTGCTATATTCAAGTGATATAGTATTAAACAAAATGATCATTCTCTTTCTCTTACGAAGTTAATAGATTGAGTTTGTATACTTAGGATTTTATGAGATAATATATATGGAGCTCATAGCTTAGGGATCAAATGAGATAATATGTGTACGATGGAACAATGAGATGAATTTTCTTGTTCCCTTTGACTAGGGTATCCATTCCCCCACTTTTGATATTGTATACTTGTATGACAGCAACTAAGAGTCAGGGATTGTGGGTTCTCACTCTGGCTTTAGCACAACAAGATTATGATAATTTCTCCTTGCTTTACATCCTGTATCTGTGAAGTAAGGACTCTGTTTACCCTGGAGCTTAGCAAGTCAAGGAAGTATCTTGTTTTAACTTTCCACTTCTCTTTGTCTTACCCAGATCAATTAAAGTGAATGAAAACAATGTGGCAATGTTAATAATTTTATTGATGTGAGAATTTGAAGATTCTAGCAACACTATTTGCACACCAGTGCCATCTAGTGGAAAATGTATAATTTTCTTGAACTATACAGACTGGGCAATTTTCATTCTTTGTGAAACAAAATTACTGATTGGTATGCTGAAAATTTGAGGCTGATGTTTAGAGCAGTTAATTTCTTTTCTTAAAGAAGAGATAAAAGATGAATAAAACAAAACCAGGAACAGAAATATCGGGAAATGCTAGGAAAGCAAAATTTCTTTATCAATCATGTGAAATACCACATATGCAAGGAAAATAATAAATTTACTTTCTCTAATGACTTTATGACTTCTCCATCTATTTATTGTAAACAGCTTTCTTGAGATACAATTCATATATCATACAACTCATCCATTTAAAATGTTCAATTAAATGGTTTTTAGTAGGTTCACAGCATTTTGCAACCATCACCACAATCAACTGTAGAACATTTTTTATCACTCGATAATGACAGTTTTGCCATGTGTCAAATTATATAAAATCATATTTGAACATGAATCACATGTAGCTAAAACAGCTAAAAATTCTGAGGTTTGAAACAATGATTATTAATTGGTGTTATAGTAGAGAAAAGATGTGCTGTGCATTAGCAGATTAAATTTTTTCAAGGCTTGGGGCGCCTGGGTAGCTCAGTCGTTAAGCGTCTGCCTTTGGCTCAGGTCATGATCGCAGGGTCCTGGGATCGAGCCCCACATCGAGCCCCACATCGAGCCCCACATCGAGCCCCACATCGGGCTCCCTGCTCAGCGGGAAGCCTGCTTCTCCCTCTCCTTCTCCCGCTGCTTCTGTTCCCTCTCTCTCTGTGTCTCTCTCTGTCCAATAAATAAATAAAATCTTTAAAAGAAATTTTTTTTCAAGGCTTTACAACATGTAGCCTATAATGTACAATTATTAGAATAACACTTGCTGATTTCACATGAAATCGTTTTCCCTTGATGTTTTTCTTCCAAAATTCTTAATAAATTTCTTTTTTAAAAAAACAAGAGATGACATTGTTACTTATTTTTGAAATGCAAGGAGAAAATCATAAATTCTTGTCATTGTTTTCCAAAAGTTCTCAAACTATGATATAATTACAATGATATTTACTGGTTATCAATATTAGTCTTCATACATTATATTTAAGTAAAAATGTTTTGCCTTATTTGAAATTTTTAAATAGGCTTTACCACTGATATGTATTGGTGATCAATTAGTAATTTTCAGATTGTTCTGTATGAATAAGGTCCAGAGTGTCCATTTTTTCCAGCTGTAAGGCTACTAGCTACTGATAATGTATTCATGCACCTACACTGGCATGTGGAAGGCACTGGAGAAATGGTAGTCTCCTTCCTTTTCTTGAGTTTGCATGTCTTTGTTTGAGTTTGAGAATAATATTTAACACTTGATTTCCCCCCCCCAACCTGGTCCTTTTCATTCAACTTTTTTTTAAAAGATTTTATTTGTTTATTTGAAAAAGAGAGAGAGAGAGAGCACAAGCAGGGGGAGTGGCAGAGGGAGAGAGGCTCCCCACTGAGCAGATAGCCCAACTGGGGCTCGATCCCAAAACCCTGGGATCATGACATGAACCTAAGGCAGCTGCTTAACCAACTGAAACACCCAGGCACCCCCCTTTTCATTCAACTTGATGACATATATCTTTTAAATATGTTGATCATGGAACAGATTCATAGGTACCACTTAGAATAGTATCATTCAACCATCTGGTAATTGTGACTATTTAAATTAAAATAAAAATTAATTAAATTAATTAAAATGAACTATAATTAAAATAATAAAAATTTCAGTTACCCAGTTGCATTAACCAGACTTCAAGTACTCAAAGTTACTCGTGGCTAGTAGACAGTGCCCACGTAGAACATTTCAATCATAAAGTACATTGGACAGAGCTCTGGAGACCTAGACTATGGAAAACGTCCTATTTATCTAATACACATAATTTTCCCTATTACAAGTACTTTGTTGAACCAACTTTTTTTTTTAAAGATTTTATTTATTTATTTGACAGAAAGAGACACAGCGAAAGAGGGAACACAAGCAGGGGGAGTGGGAGAGGGCGAAGCAGGCTTCCCCCCCCCACCCCGCAGGCAGGGAGCCCGGTGCGGGGCTCCATCCCAGGACCCTGGGATCATGACCTGAGCCCAACGCAGAAGCTTAACGACTGAGCCACCCAGGTGCCTCACTTTTTTGACTTAAAAATTATTTTAATACTCCTATTTGTCTGTCCCCCTACCACTCATGTCTCACTGAAGTAATTATGTAACCACGGGTAAGCAACTTTCCTTTCTCATGTTTTCCTAAATACAACTTTAACTTTGACCTGTCCGCCTTCAAAACAATCATCTTCTTGTAGCTTTTTCAGTCCTTCCCTCCGTATCTCCTTTCTTTGCTCCTTCAGTTCTAATTGTCTTTGTTTCTATTCGTACTTTATATCACTTTTTTTTTTTTTTTGCAATTAGCACGCAGCTTGCAACCTGGGTGTCAGTTCTTATGGTATTTTTTCTAATGTAACTCATTTATAATAACATTTATAATCATTTATAATGATTTAACTTTTAATGTATTTAAATCTTCTCCCAGCTGAATTGTAACTCAGAAAATTGGAGCTACAGTTCAGTTTTTGTCCAAGTTGCTTAGCACAGTGACTTGCCCATCCTAAGTATTCGTTTTATTCTTTTGTTGACACGTATGATTCCTGCAATCAAATGCTAATGGACCATTCATAAAACGTTGAGACCTTGCTTCAAGCAAGAACTGGGACTCGAGGTCAATATGCATAGATAACTTAACTCTTTGGTTAGGCAAAAGTTAAACAAAAGATGGGCTTGGGGCTGCTGAGCTCAAAAGACGTTCCCTTGCCACGTTTAGATTCAGCCTGCGACTGCCCAGCAAGTCTGTTTTTAAGTTCCTGCGAGAGTTGCCAACTTGCGGGATCTGGGAGCCAATCAGCAGTGCGGATGGAGCCTGGCCTGCTATTGGCTGGCGTCCACCGGAAGCACATGCCGGGCTGGGACTCCAGTGCAAGTGTTTGAGGCGCTGCTGTCGGATTGCCAGCCTCAAGCTTGCAGCCTAGGTTCTGGCCACGGAGATGCCCGGGTGACTACTAAGGGTTCTCCAGGGAGGCGGTGGGCAGAGTCGCTGACCCTCCGGTAGGTATGGGGCTGGCTGGGAAGGAGTGGGCCGGGCAGCCATGTGATCTATGCACTGGTTATGGGCCAGGGCAGTTTGGGCTAGGGTTCATTCAGAGAGGAGTATCCAGCCGTCCTGCTAGTAAGAGGCTCACCTTAGCCCTCGCCTGGTGGCGTCTAGGTGTCCCTAAGTGCAGCATAAAACTATTTCTAGTGAGGGGCCTGTCTGCAGCTTTTA